ATGTACATACTTTATACCCCCAAGCAGATTGGAAGTTTCTCAATGATCTGAATGTTGCTTTTTAATTTTTTGCCTCGTACTTCTTATCTCCACTTTATGTAACAAAATACTATACACAGAGTTTGATTGTTGATTGTTTATTTAGCTTTCAAAGGAACTCATTCTACCTTTTCCATTCACAGGTTCAAGCTTTCTGGAACTGCAACAGAAAATATGAATTGTGCTTATTTTCATAATGGGAAAATTCACCCTACCTTCTGTGAGAACAAACATTATTTAATGTGTGAAAGGAAGGCAGGCATGGCAAAGGTGGACCAACTGCTTTAATGCAAAGGCAAGCACAGCATGTCACAGACAAGTGATCGATGGTACAATAAGAGATCTGGATGAAGGAGTCACTAGCCATAGAATTGCTTATTTTTCCCTTTATTCCCCTTACAGTGATCTTTACATTATCTTTCCTACCAACACCACTTAGTTCCTTCTTTATATAACCCTTTATACTGAGGAATAACTTAGTGCCTTCTTTATACATCCAGAAACCAGTCTATGAGCTGATGGTTTCCCAATGGCTCCATTAATTAATTTCCATTAATTTTCATTCTTCTTGTCTTCCATTCCTAATTATCTCAACATGCTATGATTCACTGCATCTTCAGACATAAACATATACATTTTACATTGAAACAAGAAAGGTTAGCGCTTAAATGACTTAAGCTGTGCAAAATATCTAAGTCTGAGACTATGCAAAATATCTAAGTTTGAAAGACAGCATAAGGTAGTGGAAAGTATACTAAACTTGGAGTCAGTAGAATAATTTAGATGGCATGATCACTCAAGTACAACCATGGCTCAATCATGTTGCCCCTTAACTTCCATTTTCTAATATTTAAAATAGGATAACACCTGTCTTATATACCTCACAGTTCCACAACCTAAAATAAAAACTTCAAAGTATTAATTATATCAGAAACTCCATGAAAGCAAACCCCATGACTTTCTTATTTTCTATTCTATGCCAGCAAGCACAGCTCCTGGCTCATAGGAAACAGAAAGATATTTGCTTCTCTTTGTGTGAGACAGTTCACTAGAAAGCACAGCAATCAGTAAAACACTATACAGATATAATTTCTATTCCAGGTCCCCCTATGGTCAGACTGAAGAGCAGTAATTTTCTGTCCAAGAGAAGGAAAATAAAGTTTGCAAGAAAACTGACGGGGTTTGAAAATGAGTAAATGCTTTTTAACAAGTTGCACACGCTAGTGGAACAGCAAGCAAAAATGCTTTAAATAGTTCTTTTCCTGACAGCTCTATGTTTGGCTTTTGCTGAGTAACTCATGCAGTATTTATAGATATGTGGAGAGGCACCCTTTAACAGGATAATAGGCAAAATTTTCATTTCTTTTCACAGCTTCCCTGAAGGTACTCTTTCTCCTTAAATTCGTGGCAATAAAATTTATAAACATGATTCTCAAACATCTCAATTGAGGTGCTTGTTAAAACATGCAGTTAGGGGCTTCCCCGGTGGCGCAGTGGTTGAGAGTCCGCCTGCCGATGCAGGGGACACGGGTTCGTGCCTCGGTCTGGGAAGATCCCACATGCCGCCGAGCGGCTGGGCCCGTGAGCCATGGCCGCTGAGCCTGCGCGTCGGGAGCCTGTGCTCCGCAGCGGGAGAGGCCACAACAGTGAGAGGCCCGCGTACCGCAAAG